TTCCCCCCGAGCGCAGGGCTCTGCCCTTGTCCTCGCCGCCCCGTGCCCACCCTGCTCCGACTGTCCCCGACTGCGCCAGCTCATTGTGAATTCGACGCCGCGCTCCGGGGAGCTTCCTGCCGCTCCCGGCTCCGTGTGGTCTGCATGTTCAATTAGCCGTGTCTCTGCCTCCCCTCCCAGTCACTGCAGGAAACGACCCTGAGCTGTCTGGGCCCCGGGGAGATGCCCGGAGCCTCCCCAGCCGATGCCGAGCCGGCCTGCACCGGTGCTGCCTGCGCCGCGTGGCCGAGCCTCCCACCTGCGGCGCCGGCCTGCGCTGCGGTGTCCTGCGCCGGTGCTTGGGGATGGAGGTGGCTGAGCGCTGACGCACCCCGTTGGCTTGCTCCTGACTGTGGCCCCTGCCATGCCCAGCGCTCGCTGCCCTGCGCCTCCGGCCTCTGCCTCTCCCCCCACGTCCTCGTCCTTGCTGCGTGTGGGCCACACCTGGATGGTCTGCATGCTGCCCGTGCCCCGCACGCTTTCTTGCTCCTCTCATCTGCTGCAGTCCCTTGCAGGGGGGGCGATTGTCTTCCAGAACCGCCCTGTCTCTGGGGCGGGAGATGGCTGCCGAGGCCGAGCCAGGATCAACAGGCTTGGCTGCAGCTTGGCCATGGGTCCACGTGGGGTGGGCGGCCCCGGGTTCATGGTTTGGGCCACGGCAGCCGCTCCTCCTCCTCCTCTGTCTTGGGTCTCCAAGCACCGGGATGCTTGCAGTAGACTTTCTGCATTTGGGGCGGCTTGGGGTGATCGTCTTCCCTGCCCACTGCCTGATCAGCCTCTCCTGGGACACCCCCAGCGATGGAGAGTCCCCCCACCCCCCGTGTCTCTCCCACGGCCACCCTGCTCGGACAGGGAAGACGTTTTTCCTGATATCCAACCTAAAGCTACTTTGCTGCAAGTTCAGGCCACTGGTTTGTGTCCTCGTCTCTGCAGCAAGAGAAGTTGCTTCTCCCTCCGTGTCTGGCAGCTCTTTGGGGATCTGCAGACGGCTCTCGGGGCCCCTCAGCTGTCCCTGCCCGGCTCCTCCAGCCTCTCCTCCAGGACTTGCTTTCCAAGCCCTCTGTCACCTTTGTTGCTGCCTCTGGACCCCCTCTAACATCCCAGAGCCGCGGGGCTGGCAGGAAGTTGCGGGGCCGCATCCAGCCTGAGGCAGGATCAGCCCCATCCAAACCAGCCCAGACAAACCCCGTGTCCGACCTCGGAGCCACACGACACAGTCACCATGGCACAGCCCCGGGCATCGCCCCCGCCCCCCGGTGCCAGGGCACCATCCTCTGCCTTGCCCTCAGAAGCCCCCGCCGGGCAGGCCGGGACCCCAGACCCCAGCTGCGCTCGGGGCAGAGCTGGCTGCGGGATGACGCTCCCGGGCCTCGGCACCGGCCCAGGAGACGCCTCGCTGCCTGGCGTGCGGGGAGCGGGCAGGCTGCAGCTCCCGTCCGTGTCCGCGTCCGCGTCCGCGTCCGCGTCCGCGACCGCTCACGTCCTGCCCCGCTCCTCTCCCCCCAGAACTTCTACAAGGAGATTGACCGGCAGGCCATGTACATCCGGTAAGATCTCTCCTCCTGGCGGCGATGTGGACATCCCTCCCCCCCATGGGTACCAGCCCAACCCGGGTCTCCTCGGCCCGCCCAGCCGGCCCCGTGCCGGCAATGCCAGGGAGCTGGGAGCCCGAGCCCGAGCCCTGCCCGCTGGCGGTGCCTGGGCAGGGCTCACGCCGCCTCTCACCCAGGTACCTGTACAAGCTCAAGGACCTGCACGTCAGCTACGAGAACTACACAGAGGCGGCCTACACCCTGCTGCTGCACGCCCAGCTGCTCAAGGTTGCGGCCCCGCGGGGCGGGGGAGCCCAACCCCGTGGGCTGGAGCTGGGGGGAGGCTGCCGGGGGCCGGCGGCTGCTGGTGCCTGCTCGGGCAGGGGGAGGGGGCACCCGTGCCTCTCCGCAGTGGTCAGACGAGCCAAACACGGCGCCCACGCAGGCCCTGCACGGCCGCAGCCTCCACACGCAGCGCCAGCTCAAGGAGGCGCTTTACAACCAGATCATCGACTACTTCGACCAGGGCAAGGCGAGCATCACCCTCCCAGCGCCACTCGCTCTGGGGCCAGGCACGGCCCTCGGGCTCTGGGACCCCGTCTCCATTGTCAGGGTCCGCAGAGGAGTTCGGCCTAGCGGTTAGAGCCGGGGGTGTCACCAGCCCCCGTGGCCCGGGCGAGGCTGGAGCCAGAGCGGGATCCCCAAGCGGAGCTGGGAGCCCCGGAGCTGAGCCCAGTCCGGGCAGGAGCGTGATGCACTGGAGCCAGGTGTTGCGCTGCAGGGCCCAAGTGCTGCCAGGGCCAGGCAGGGACGAGGGGCAAGGGGTGCTGGCCTGGTCACCCCGTGGCAGCGCAGGGGCTCACACCCAGCCCCAGGACCAGGCGCCAAGGCTGCCTCGGACAGGCCAGCCCCCAGCCCCAGCCTGGATGCTCCCTGCTCCTGCTCCTGCTCCTGCTCCATCTCTCTGTCTCTGCCGGGCTCTGGCTCCTCGCCTCGTGCCTGGGCCCCCAGTGCCACCTGCCGGGTGTCGCTGGCGGTGCAGCAGCCGCCGGGCCGGCCGGCCGGCTCAGGGCTCAGGGCTCAGGGCTCAGGGCTTCTCCGGTCTCGGGGCTTGGGGTGTCCTGCCCCAGGGCACTCGGGGCCACGCAGGCCCCGCTCCCCACACCGCTGCCTGCTGCCCCAGATCACCCCCACCGCAGCCGCACCTGTCCCCCAGAGCCGCCCTGTCCCCACGGGCCCCTGACTCTGCCCATCGCCCGCAGATGTGGGAGGAGGCCATTCACATCTGCAAGCAGCTGGCGGCGCAGTACGAGAGCGAGGTCTTTGACTACGAGATGCTCAGCGACATCCTGGTGAGGCCGCAGCGGGGCTGGGGCGGGCACGGCA